AACGGCTCGCCTACAGGCGGAATCACATTCTCGTCGAGACCAAGCCAGTACACATTTGCCCCCGAGGCGGTCCATCGCTTTCCATCGAGATACAGGGAGCTCCCGTTGCGGGTTATAGAGAGGTCGGCAACACCGTGAGGACATCGTATGGAGAGCGCCGAAGCGGAAGAAAGTAGCAGAGTAGCCACCATCAAGGGGAGCATTTTGGATGGCGGTGCGCGTGAATCTAGCGGCTAGGAATGGGGTAGAGAATTCTCCAAGCGGTGCTGTTACTCTCTCGACCATTTAGACGTATACTTATACTGGAGTGCAAAACGCCACTCTAGCCAGATACCGGGCTCGCACTGGAGTGATCTTCACTCCGAAGACCTCGGGAACATATGATTCGGTGCCATCTTTTGCTACGAGCGACACAATTAAATTGACACTTGCCGTCTCTCTGGGCAATAGGCAATAGATCCGGTCCCGTCTTCCACCAAACTTTTCCAAAGGCATTGAATTTAGCCCCGCCACTGTCAAGCTTGACTACAAATTGCACGAAGCCATTGCACCACCTTACCTGATCGGAACGATATGCAGTCATCGCCGGGCTCAAGTATGTACGGAGAAATATATTAAGAGAGGGCGTGCGCAGAGCGATGCTCGACTGGGATCGGACGGGTTGGGCCGGAGAGCCGTTTGGGTAAAGTGTGGGCAGAGGAGGAGGCTCGTGCGGAGAGAATGCGAAGGGGGAAGGGGCAGTGTCACAAATATGTGTGCACTGCTTGTGGAGGGGATAGTCCTTTTTCCCCCAGCTTTGCGTTTATGTGAGGACTTATTGTAGGGCACGAAAGGCGACATGGGACTAGCATTAACGGTTCTGATGCGCCGGACCATGCGGTTCCTTCCCGCAGCTAATCCCTTTTAATCACCATTGCAGGCTTCTATACATATTGACAGGGCTATCTAGCATGCAACGAAAGGCAGTCGAATCGAGCTTTACGAAGGATTGAAGAGCTTTTAATCAGTCCTCTCACGTCGGCGAACGTAATCCATGCGCTGATCTACAGCTCTTTTCATGCAACGAAGATATCGCAGCATCTACAAATGTTATAAGCCCCGCACCATTTCTCCCCTCCCTCACGACTCCTCAAGCCATCCGCCGGCCCAAACACAGATCCCAATGCAGTCTGCTCCGCCCTTGAGAGGATCACAGCTATCGTTCGGGTCATCAACACATTTATACTGCGCGGGGCATTTCCCTCCCTTTAGTCCCCCACAAGTAACTCTAGGTCCAACGCAGATGCCTGGGCAGTCCGCGCCGCCGTGCTTGGGATCACAACCATCGTTCGGCGCGTCGATGCATGTCATGGAGGCATCAGGGCAGGATAATCCGATGAAGCCAGCACAGCTAGGCCCAAGGGGAATGAGGCTGGGTTTGGCGGTCGGGAGCGGCTTTGTAGCGGTGGGAACGACAATCGGGTCACGGGCAAGTATTCCGCAAACCTAGGTGGGTATCGTTAGCTGGGGAGTTCCTCGGTTGTACATTCAGAAAGAACTTACTTGTGGGGTGGGCTTGGGGCATTGAATGCCCTGCGCCAGGTAGGATTCGTAACATGATTGGGCAGCAGAGTTCTTGCATTTGCACTCCTAAGTTGCTGTTAGAGGGGGAGGCGTATACAAAGCACTCCAGAGAAGTACGTACAGCGATCAATTCCATTGGGCAGATCGGAGGCTTGCAATAACAGTAAGGCTTGCCAGGACCAACAGGATTGGCAACAGCCAGTGAGAGCAGCGCGGCAGCGACGATGACGAAAGACTTCATGATGAACCAAGTATAACAGTAATGGAAGCTGGCTGTTCTGGGAGACTGGATCTGATACGGAATGTAGACTGTTCTGTCAGGAATGTAGGTTCATTTATACTTAATCACCGAGTCCTATACGAGCAAGCCTCAGCGTGCGAAAGAACGAATAATTGTTAAACCCAAGACTATTCTTACTATTCTTAGTCTACAAATACGAAGATTCGGTCGCAAAAGACTTCGCATTCAAAGCGTGCAATTTGCGCGCATACGAGTTTGAACGTGCCACACGTCCTACGAGCAGGGACCACGGTAAAATTCAGCCTTCGGGCTCTTCTCGCCTCGGGGAAAACCCCCCAGAAGTCCCCTAGCTGCACGTGAGACCTTGTATGGTTCTGGTATGGTGCAAGGAGCGAACTCGTTCATTTGACATCAGATCATCAGCATCTATAGTTTGGAAGAGCCTTTTGGTCGCTCCATTGCCTTTGTCTTGTTCTTGAAGTTCTTGACGAGCTGACGAACGCCAAGATCGAGCATTACGTCCTCCGACCCTCCCGGAATGCGAATACCAGGCGCCTCTCGATATATCCCTAATTGGGTGGTCAGAGAGGGCATCAGACGGCGCGGTGTTCGACCGAGTTGAAACGCGTATTAGGAGGAGAGGAGGGGAAGTGCATGCGGAGAAACTTACGCTCGACCAATTCACCTTGGCCCGATTTCGTGTAACCGTTTCCACCAAACAACAAAACGGCGCATTGGGCACACTCATTCAGGACAATGCCCGATTGGGCTTTGACCATTGCTGTCAAACCGCCGAGCTCGATATCAGCTATCTCCTTGGGGAGTTGAGTCATCTGATACACTAAGGTCGAAGTCAGCCAATGCAATCTTGAGTTCGTGGGAGGTGCTCTGTACCAAACTGCTCAACCCAGGCCCATTGGCTCTCCAACATTGCGCCACATTTCGCCAAACGATGTCTCACCACAGGCTGCTCGACAAGAGTCTTCCCGAACGCCTCACGTTTGAGAACATATTCCATAGCAGCGGCCAGTGCGACGCGAGCTTGTCGCGTTGCTCCAATGGCAATCGTGAGTCGCTCGTGATTGAAGTTCGTCATGATGTATCGCATTCCCATGCCCTCTTCGCCAATTAGATTCTCCACAGGCACTTTGACATCGTCAAGCTCGATAAATGTAGTTCCTGCTGAAACCTGGCCGCCAACTTTCAGCCTTCGCATGTTGACCCCTGGATATCCCTTCAGTGGTACCACGAGCATTGACAACCCCGAGGGTCCCGGACCCCCGGTGCGTACTGCCATGGATGAGTATTCCGCCCAGATGCCGTTTGTGATCCACTTCTTTGAGCCATTGACGATGTAGTGTTTTCCGTCAGCTGTCTTTGTAGCAGTAGTCGAGATGTTGGCAACGTCGGACCCGGCGCCGGGCTCGGTGATGGCGATGCACGTCCGTTTCTTGCCAGTCAGAAGCTCGGGGAGGAAGCGTTCCTGTAGCTGCTTGTTTCCGTACTTGACAATTGGGGGGACACCAAATGATATTCCGGTCGTGAGTGATCCGGAGGGGCCGGCGAGACCTGTACGTGCCATCTGACACAATCACAGTCAGCTTCGTCGGGGAAGTCCCCGATTTTCTGCTCGTCCTACCTCATCACAGTATATAAGCGTATGGATGTAGTCAAACTCTTCCACCTTGACTGCACCCAGGATATCGTGAATCCCCAGCCGCTTGAGCCATTCTACTGGCAGCGGAGCGGGCAGCGAAGGAAGAAGCATCCCAGCTTTGGCGAAGGTCTCGAAGACGGACTCAGGGAGTATCTCGGCGGTGTCCCATTCCAGCGCATTCTCCAACAGGTTCTTCGATATGAATTCTCGACATGCTTTTTGCCATCTCAGATGCGTCGGCTTGTAGTAGGGGGAGGGAAGACCGGCGAGGTACGGTGGTTCTGAGAAGGGCACGATGGCTGAGGACGACATAATGAAGTTCGAATGTGAAATGACGAGTAGAGAGCAATTCGAAGCTCTTCCTGATGTGTGTTTACATGATGCCGGAGCTCGAGGGTATATAAGCTACGCCGTAAGGTCGTGGAGGTGGAGGTGATCTGGGCCGGGGGTGTTGAATGAGCCGAGGTCTGCCGAAGCTCCCACCAGACTCGTAGGCTTGTAGTTGCGCGAACGCCCAAAAAGACACGTGCTCTGGTAATTTTCTCATCGACGGCATTTATTATTTCAAAAGTCTTGAGTCTTGATCAGTGAGTATTTGGCGATGTCTTGCATCATATTATGTTCATAGAAGGCTCTATGGAAACGTCGCAGGCAGCGCGCCCATCCACTTGCAGATTGAATTGCCAACACAAGATCACATCGCCTTTCTCCTTCACATAGCGAACTAAAGGCGACCGACAGCAGATTTATTGGAAGGGTTTGAGATCATTAATGATCCCCCTTTCGCAAGACTATTCGACAACTCGAGCTTCGTCCAGTTCAAGGCCTTCATAACGCTTTCTCGAGTCGGCGTGTCGAGTCAGCTCGCCTAAAGCCTCCTCTCGCTCGAAGGTGTGCGGAAGGTGGTGTAGCTAGTGACGCTTTGGTGAAGTGTTCAGCACTCGTAACGTGTCACTTACTTCTGAATTTTAGTAATACGACATAATTAAAGTGATCCAGCTAGAGATACACTGCGAAGGTCAGGTTCTATAGAAACGCCTGGCGCATACGATAAGCCAAGAGCCGGGATTTCTTCAACAAGGAAGAATCTACTTATAGACGTAGTAGCACATCGCAGGAGCATCCTTGGGTAGATCAGGATGTCCTCTATAGGATCCAAGTTTCGAATCTCATGCACACTTCCACGTAGAACAAGCTATGATAATTGTATGCATTTATGGCCTGCTGTCAATCCTCTATGATTGTTGCGTCTTGTGATCGAATGATCCAGGCCGGTCTGAACAACGGTGGACTTTCAGACTCTATGCGATAGTCAAAGTTTATGCGCTACGGCGAATGCGTGAAAAAAGAAGCGGTCAGCATAACTGCGCCAGTGATTGCTGGTGGGAGTGTGGGAGGATTGAAGTTGGGTGGGGCTACGCTCGATCTCCGCACTAGTACTTTCGTACTTTCTTTACTGGCAGCGAACGCTAGTGGCTTCAAAAGTTAGATATATAAACGCAAAATTATGCGAACTCACCATCAATCAAAGAACACAACGGTGAGATGGCCGAGTTGGTTATGGCGCCAGGGTGAGCAAAATCATGTGACTCTCAATTTAGATTATGTACTAACAATTGCACAGTTAAGGCATACCTTAGCATTAATTCCTGGTCACGAAAGTGGCGTGGGTTCGAGTCCCACTCTCATCATCATTCGTCTGAGCTTTAGCTTAGGTTTCAGGATTCTTTTTTTTTGCATTTCGGTGCGCTTAGAGTAGGCCGCTGACATACGTTTGTGGCTATGTTAGCGAGGATCCGCCTCTGCCGTGGTCCGTGGTCCGCTCTCATTCTGCCGCCTCCCCACCCCTAAGTATTGAACATTACCTTCTTCAAGAAATACATGACTATTAGAAACCTTGCTGTTCCAAAATGCGTTAGCGGCGTAGACATTTGGCCCGCACAAGTTGAGCGACAGTGTATGTTCACAGATTCTATAACGATACTCCGGATATTTAGACATTCTTAGCCACGCCCGCACACGACAAACGAACTTTCCTATGGTCTGTGCCCGAACAATATCTTTACCTCGAGCTCGTTTAGTTCGTTTGTTGAAAACTTTGCTCATAGCTATGACACTCAGATCCCACAACTTGCTAAACGGAGCTGGAAGATCGTCTATGGGCAAATATTATTAATACGTTGCCAAATGGTAAACTTTTGGAAAAATCCACATCTTAGAATGATCGAAGGATAACACATCGATTTCGTTCATAGACGTGGGTGGAGTCGAAGACGATGGAATTCTCCCGCCCATGTGGAGTAACGGCATCACCAAAAAGTGGACTCGACGTTAAGCAACTTCCAGGCTGCCATAATTTCCTTCTCACTAGAATATCCACTTGTATTTCGTTGGGGTTGCCATAGAACTGTGGGTTGATGAGATGTTCCTGGGGCAATAGTTCCGGGAACCGGGGATGATTCGCTTCCCGAGAACAACTCAAAGCTTCACACACAACGAACGACTATTTCTGAATTAGGAAGTTCATCTCGTCCGACCATGGGCTCACTAAATTTACCCGGAAAGCGAGGACTATCGCAGCCTTTCGCGGCCTTGCGGTGCCTTGCTCGCTATGCGATAAAGCCAGGTAGGTAGGTATATATGGGGAATCAATCCAGTCAATTGAGGGCATAAGAGCAAGTTTGAGAACATTTCTTTCCTTGAGCATTTCCTGGACATTCTTTTTAAATACGTTGACTATGAAGGTTCTCGCTACGCTGGCAGTATCTGCCTTCGCCATTGCTGGCGCGGATGCGCACAGGGTCAAAGACGCTTACGACCGAACATTCCATTGGGGTACTTTGAAGGCAACAAAATTAC